TTACACCCACCTTATGTTACTCTAAGAGAATATTCAAGGCAAGTGAGATACTTAAGGAATAATTTCACTAATGCCACATGCTGTACATGGACTGTGAGTTTCCATGGCTGAACAGGGATTCAAGCCCAGCCCTCCTGAGCCCTAGGCTGTTACTCTGTTCACTATGCCATATTGGGCACTTGTTCATTGTATTACTTACATTACTGTACTGTATATCTCACACTTCCTCCAGTGAGCACAGTTAGAATCCATGAGTCCATGGCACTCCTCATGCTCATTTCTATCCCAACTATTTTGAGATGTAACCCAGGCAAAGAGAGGTGAATGGGCCAAAGTCATCCAGACCATCCAGTGAATTTCAAAGTTCAGTGGGAGGCTGAATATAGATTTCCTATGTTCAACTGTAACTACTGGACTTCATTGGCTGTCCATAATATCTTTAACATTCTGGAGATGGAAGAACTCAACCAGATGAATTTCCAGTTGCTTCAAAAGTGAGGTACTATGGATTCAGTCTTTATCTGACTCTGTCAAACCATTTCATAACCTTTTCCTCCAACCCTGTGGAACTCCTGAGAGGTCACAGTAAGGAGCAACAAAATGTAACAGCCAACTTGAGGTTTACATAGATAGAACAATACACAGTGGTTGAAATCCTGTTGCTTAGCATAGTGATTCATGCTAGAGCAGGCCCATTGAATTATTTATTTATTTATTTGATTTGTATCCCGCCCATCTGGTAACTCGGTACCACTCTGAGCGGCTAACATAAAAATATACAGTTATGTGGTTATTCAACTCCTCCATAAGTGCCATTGATTCAAATGGGCCTACTTGAGTTACAATTTATTATGCTAAAGTAATACATAACTAAAGTAAGCTTATTTGAATCGACGGAACTTATGGAGGAATTGACTTACCAAATCGCTACTGATTCAGTGGATCTACTCTGGTGCAATCACTACGCTAAGCAACAGCCATCAAATAAACTAAACCCTGTTGACCAAACTCCACATTGTGAGTTCTTGTTCAGTTTGGGCTTAATGTGATACACCTAATGCCCAGAATATGTGTGACTAGAAGAGGTCTTCTGAATGGCAATAAACAAGCTGAAGTGCCTGGTTTCTAGTCCCTCCCATCTAAGACAGCGCATATTCATCTGTGTTCTTTGTAGCCAGTATAACTGCTACTACCCCAGACAAAAATCATGTGTGTCAATCTCTATGATAAACACACACACACACACACACAGAGAACTGAGAAAGGGCAGGAAGCATTTAAGACCAATGCAAAAAAGGCCTTTTCTGTATTTGGTGGTTATCTCAAGCAATAGAGTCAAGCAGCCAGTCCGAATCCTTGCAGTGGTTCCCAAGAGATGTTAGGAAATCTGTTCTATCAAGTGATAAATAAACACAAGGGCATCTATGAATTGCAACATAACCCCTGCCTTTGTCACTGTCTGGCCAACCATCATTTTTCCTGCATTTTTTTTAAAGGAACAATTCTCTGTTTTACTGAGAAATCGATTTGCCACATTTTCAAGGTAGATGCCCCACTCCGGTAAGAGAACTGTTTTGAAACCAGTTCTTTGCAGTTTGCCCCGTCAATTTTAACAACTTCCCACAATCATATTTTTGAGAACTGTAGCCTGTGAAATCTGTAATAGTTCCTTTTATGATAAAAAGGAAGTTGCCTGGAAACAACGGTAAAAACACAATCATCACATTTTCAGGTTCATATAACCTTTCTTTAAACGGTGGTGGAACGGTCAGAGAAAATGCCTGAAATCTTCAAAATGGCCGTGATAAGAGGCTGCCTGTGCTTTTGGATGAGAGGATAATGGCCATTTGGAAGCTTGAAGTACACCAGTGATATTCACTGAGATGAAGCTTAATTGAAGTTGTTAAATTACCAGCTGTGTCTTTCTTAGAGCTAGGAAGGAAACATAACTATCATTTACAAATCTACACCTTTGAAACAGATCACTCATGTATGTAACACACTTGACAAAATGGAAAATAGGAACTATGCCTCCTAGCATTGTAGGCTTGAGCTTAAAAAAAAAACCCACTGTTGTTTTGACTACTCTTAGAGATGCAGGGGCACATGGATCACAACTAGTTTGTCTTAAATTGAGTCTAGTCTTGATTGCTAGTAATGCACAGATATTGGCAAAGCATACAAATGTTGTTATATAATTTTATTTTTTGCTAAAGGTAATGATAAGGTAAAGGTTCCTCTTGACATTTAGTCCAGTTGTGTCCGACTCTAGGGCACGGTGCTCATTCCCGTTTCCAAGCCATAGACCCAGTGTTTGTCCATAGACTTGCTTCCGTGCTCATGTGGCCAGCGCGACTAGACACAGAATGCCATTACCTTCCCACCGAGGTGGTATTTATTTATCTGCTTGCATTTTTACATGCTTTTGAACTGCTAGGTTGGCAGGAGCTAGGAACTCACTCCGTCATGTGGATTTGATCTTACGACTGCAGGTCTTCCATCTTTGAAGCACAGAAGCTTCTGCGGTTTAACCCGCAGAGCCACCACGTCCCTGAAAATGTGATGATTGTGTTTTTGCCTTTGTTTCCAGGCAACTTCCTTTTTATCACAAAAGGTAATGATACTGGGAATAATACAGAACAATCTTGTGGCAATCTTTACAACGGGTTTTGTCTTCCACTTTCCTGGACTGTAGCCCATTTAGCATTGCAGATGTGCACAGCATTGCCTCATTTATTATACATGCTTGTGTGGGAGGGGGTAGTCAAGGGGGTGGCAGGTCATGGAAATTCAAGAAATACAGACACTGATCATTATCCTGAAGGTGGTCATTAACAAACAATAGTTGGTTGGTAGCCCAGACATCCTGGCATGCATGAGCTGATTAACGCATGTACTGCGATGAAAATTCAAGTCAGACAAAGTTAAGCTAGAATATTTTGTAACAGCAATAAAATATTTAATCTGCATCTCTGAAGGAAATCACACCTTGTATTTTTTTTTCCTTGTGAATCCTTCAGCTTGACCTCAGTTTCCCTTATCTATTTTTCCTGGGAATCAGGTGGCGATGTGTTCCTTGTGGGGGATTCCTGTGGCATTGTAATGGATCCATAGGGCTTTTTTTCTCTGGTGAGAAAGAATGACAATGAACGGACAAAAATATCATCACATGCCTCTATGCACAATGAGATATCATTATATATTTGCCCACTTGTACTAGGAACATATATGGCAACTTTACCTTGTTCCCCTCTACCCATTCAGCCCCACAACAATGCTATAAGTAGGCTTGGATAAAACTTACTGTCTTGAACCAAGGAAGCTGAGGCTTGTGACCAAGCAGAGATACAAACTTGGTTCTCCTTGTTCCAAATTCAACATTGCAGTGCTTGCACTATACTGTCCCTCTCACATCAGAGCTAACTATCTAAACAATGCCTAGGATTAAACATAGTGGTGGGAGATATGCAATCATTAAGGTGTTTGATTTGCGTAATATTCAAATCAGGCTACCTGGATTTGGAGCAATGGACTATGGCAACATTACCTCTAAATATACAGAATTGTAATGTAAATGCCTTCTGAATGAAATATACTTCCAGAGGATGCATTTCTAGAAACCATTTGTGAGCCTAGTGCTTACACTATACTGTCTCTCTCACATCAGTGCCAAGGATTAAACATAGTGGTGGGAAAAATGCAGTCATTAATGTGTTTGATTTGCATGATATTCAAACCTGGATTTGGAGCAATGGATTATGGTAACATTACCTCTAAATATAACAGAATTGTAATGTAAATGCTCTCTGAATGAAATATACCTCCTTAGGCCATTTTAAGGAGCGGATGCATTTCTAGAAACCATTTGTGAGCCGCCAGGATGTGGGCCACAAAGGTCCGGGGGCGGGGAGCAAAATTAATTCCTGAGCTATCAAAGGGTGCTCACCTGTGCACCAAATGGGGGGCACAAGAGGGTATCTCTCTGTCTGCTTGTCTCTCTAGCACTAGTGGTTCAGAAGCTTCAGGTCTGAGGGGCTTTCAGCTCAGTGTGCTACAATGTGCTATCCTCTTGTGCCACTTCTAGCACCAACAAGCACCAGTAGCACTTTGACAGAACTACCAATGAAATTTACTACAGTACTACAAGAGGTACCGTTTTGATTTTTCACACAGTGCTCAAGAATGACAATGGGAATATTTTTTAGCACTTTTAAAGTGGGAGCTTCTGGGAGCAGCTGCCCAGCATCCCTTAGCCCAAAGTGCTGTTTAAAGGGGAGGGGGGCTGTCTACATTTAGGCTGAAGCAATTTTCCACGAGTGCTTTTCAAATGGTCAAGAATGCTTTCAGACACTAGACCTGGTTGAATCTCTTTCCTTTGTCCCCAGATGAGTGTGCATGGTATTTCAGCCATAGGTACAGTCATGAGAAAGCTATCATAGATTCTATTTTCTTCCTGAGCCTTTATTGATATATATAGTGTTCTGTACTCTTCCCTATATTTCATTTCTATTTAATTATTCTGAAAAACAGAGCCAAGGTCACCGCAGTGAAGAGGCAGACTCTAAACCAATATTGGATGGCTCTTGTTAATAGCTAAATAGAAGATCTGGTTTAGATGATTACCTCAGTATGGCATTTGGAAGGGTCTTTTTAAACCATTCAATTTTAGATAAATAGAATTTGCAGGACAGATAAATGTATTTGCTTTACTGTTGTTGTTTTAAAGAATTCATAGTATCATTTTGGTCAATATTAATTTCATCATACAGACGAAATGAGAGGTGGGGAATTGGCCTTTACTTCCAGAAGGAAACCTTGTCCCCCCTCAACTATGTATGAAAACCAGTTTTACATGATTATGGGAAATAATAGATGGGGCTTAATTTGAAATGCTGTCTTGAAAATGTCATAGTTAACATGAAATATTTGAAACTTTTCTCCTGGCTGAAATGCTAGCCTTTTTTTTTCTTTTAAAAATATGTTTCTTTTCCCATCCACAGGCAAAGCTGTAAATGTTATAAAAGCTGCAAGCCCAAGCACAAAATAAACCAAGAAGCTGGCATGGGGTTGCTTGATCAAGCCAACAGCACCCTCCTTCTGGAAGGACAAATCTCAGATAAAAGACTGCCTTTTGATTGGCACACAAAAGATCTTGTCACCCTGAGTGAAGGTCTCCATGGATCCGATAATGTTATGATGGACAGCACTAAGATCTTGGGAGTCCAGATCATATTGATAGCTGCCTATTCTCTAATCATTCTGCTGGGATTCATTGGGAACTCCTTAGTCATCTATATGATTGTAAGATACAAAACAATGAGGACTGTCACCAATTTTTTCATAGCTAACTTGGCCCTGGCAGACTTGATGGTGGACACGCTCTGCCTGCCCTTCACCTTGGCCTACACCCTGTTGGACGAATGGAAGTTTGGGGCTGTACTTTGTCACCTGGTCTCCTATGCTCAAGCTCTAAGTGTTCATGTGTCCACACTCACTTTAATGGTGATTGCCTTGGATAGGTATAGATGCATTGTTTTTCATTTAGACAGCAGGATCTCCAAGAAGATCAGTGTCACCATCATAACCACTACATGGCTGGTTGCTGCTGTCTTAGCCAGCCCATTGGCCATCTTCCGAGAGTACAGATATGAAGAAATCCCAACCATCAATCTCAGAATAGCTGTCTGCTCTGAGAAATGGCCTTCTGAAAACAGAGATGCCACCATATACAGCTTGTCCATGCTCCTCTTGCAGTACGTTCTCCCGCTTTCTATCATCTGCTATGCATACATTAGGATATGGTTCAAGCTGAAAAGTCATATCAGTCCCACTTCTCGGAGTGATAGTCATTGTCGCAGGAAAAAGACCACAAAGATGCTGGTAATGGTGGTGGTGGTATTTGCGGTCTCGTGGCTCCCGTTCCATATATTTCAGCTTGCTGTTGACCTAGATCTGGTGCTCATCTTCCATGATTATAAACTCCTCTACACAGTATTCCACGTGGTGGCCATGTGTTCCACTTTTGCTAACCCTTTGTTGTATGGCTGGATGAACAAGAATTATCGCAATGGGTTCCTCATGTTCTTCCGCTGCCAGAATAAGCCAGAGAGACTCTATACTGAGGGATCCATCAGAGGCCGATCCTATACTTTCCGAGCTACCACCTTGAATGGGAGTATTAAACACTCCACAGGCAATGGACAGCTGCCAACAGAGGTTTAGTACGTAAGCCACGCCATCTCTACCAGGGGTCTGGAACCTCAGTGGCATCTACCTGGAACTGAAGCAGCTTTTCTAAAAAAACTGAAAATGTTGTATTGCCAAAAATGCTATTATTGTCATCATAACCAATGGAGAACACATTGCCTATTTGTCCAGAGAACCTCAGTGTACTGTCCATTCTGCTTCATGAAGCAAGTTAATCAAGCTTTTTCTTGGGTTCTGTATTGCTTGTTGTATAAGCAGTAGAAAACATGTTGTACTCCGATGCTTTAATTTATGAGAAAATTTGGGTCCACTGTTATCTGGAAAAGGGGACAAGACTTAAGAATCCAGTGGCAACAAAAGTGTCTGCATTGTCAGTACTGACATACTGTAACATCATATGGTACACATTAAATACACTGTATATTCTTTTAACTGATATGTCCCTCTATTCTTTTGAGTTCTTCACCCCCAGGTCATGTGTTTTAGTTCATAGACATTCATTTTAAGACTGAACTATTGATGGGCAATTTTTTCGATAGGTATACAGAACAACTGGGAGGCCAAAAAATGTAGCATGTGGATTCTTTACATATTCCTCTTTAAAATACTGAATTCTATATTTCAAGGCAATGAGAAATGACCACTGTGCTAAATTTGACTTCTTTTTAATTTTTTTATTTTTAATTTTTTAAATTTTTTACAAAATACAAGATACAAACTAAAACAACCATGCTCCTCACCACCATTGGGACCTTCTGAAGATCTCTTCTTCTCATTGTCCTCGTTTCCAGAATTGCATTGATCCTTGTATTGAGACTTTACCTCTTCCTCTTATTAACACAAATTCAATAAATCTACCCCATATATCATCATAAATATTTTTATCTCCCCTTTCTTAACTTTTGGAATACAAGTCAATTTATCATTTACAGCAAGATTCCAAACTTCATTGTACCATTCTTCCAGTTGAGATTCAAGTTTAGATTTCCATTCCTAGCTCTAATTAATTTCTCAGCAAACAATAAATTAGTAAGCATTTCTCTAGTTGTAAAATCATAATTTTCAGTAACAAATATTGATAACGCCATTTCTGGATTAAACTTTATATCTCTATCAAAAATACTTCTTAATTCCTTCGTAATTAGTTTCCAGAATTTTTGTACCCTCTCACACTCCCACCACAAGTGAAAATATGTATCAATTTTGTTACCACGTTTCCAACAAACATTCAAATATTTAGCATTTACTTTACTCAATTTAACCAATGTTAAGTACCATCTTAAAACTATATTATAGAACTTTTCTTTTCATCTAAATTTGACTTGTGTGTCTAATTGAGCTAGGGAGGTATATCTTTAATCCCTTTGTGCAGGTAAGAATTAGAAGAAAAAGGTTTCTCCTCCATGGGCAAAAGTATGGGAATTTATGTGCATTTTTCACAGTTCAGATTTTTATTTTTTGGAAAGTGAATTCTCCATAGAAACACAGCATTTTGCATTTATGCAAAAGCTGTCGTATTTTATGCAAAAACAGCAGCCAGTATTCTGTTCAATATTTGTGCATAGTTCCAACTATGAAAGCTGCTATGGTGATTTAGCAAGCTCATGCTGGTGCAGAGTTTTGAATTCCTAATAAAATTCCTTCTCTACACAGTAGAAATACAGAGGGTCACAGAGGAGAATAGCTACCAGTTCCACAGAGGCCACCATTTTCTCATTAACTGACAATTTAAGTTTCAACAACTAACTCGGAGATGTTTGTAGGAGAAAGAATACAAAACAATTTAAAACTCAAATCTGGAAGTTGAGTCATGACAACAGGGCTTCTTTCTTGTTAGGTTGAAACATTTTGCTACTCAACCAAGACTGAAGAAGCTACTTGGATAAGTAGTGAAACATTTCAACCTAACAAGAAAGAAGTCCAACTGCCATAAATCCTCTTTCAGATAACCTCACCTGGATGACGGAGAATCGGTGAATCTTCACAGACATATTTTAAACTTAAAGTTGCTTGAACTTACAGGCTTGTGTATCCTGCTTTTCTTTATTACAGTCACACTTAGCTGCCCACTAAACATATCTGGTTGTGTGACTGACATGTGAGAATCAAGACATCAAATCTCATCAGATTGCCACAGCAATTTCTCCAGTTCCAGCTCTGCACATGCAAATACAGTAGTGAAAATTCTAACTGGCCATTGTATTTTATGCAAAATACAAATGTTAAATAGTGAAAATTCTAACTAGCCATTGTATTTTATGCAAAATACAAATGTTTTGCTGGTGCAACATATGTAGAGCTGCTGCTAACAAAAACAAAACAAAACAACTCTTCCCCCTCCCATTCTCAGGCAGGAATGAGAAATCCTTGAACAGTTTATGATCTTTTCAGCAAAGTGTTTTGATGTCACTGTTTTCACTGAGACAGCTTTGTTAGTCTGTTTCAATGAGAACAAAATTGAAATTATGTTCCTTTGAATGCAGGACAGGTTGCCTTCTTTCTGGCCAGAAATCTCTGCTTCATCTTTATTATTGGAGTCTTCTTTTCATTTCTAGTAGGCGAAATATGCACTGCATCACTATATCTACAGTCATCTGGGCACACTGACTCCCCCCCTTTTAATAGGTAAAATACTTCAGATCAAACAAAACTGAAATGAAACCATAAGCTGGGGTAACCTTGGATATCTCTTTTGAAATAAGTGGCAGTGTCTACTAAGAAACACAGGCTGCTGTCTAATAAAGGAATGATTCCTATTCTAAAAAGAAGAAAAATCATCCCACCAATCACAATGTTAATACACTCCAAAAAACCCCAACCACACAACAACCATAAAACCTTGAAGATTTTTGAAGTTTTATTTAGTGCTGGCATTCATGGACAAACACAACTATCCTTCTGGAAATTTCTATAATACAGGGGAAAGAAGCCTATACTTTCCGAAACCCATTTTCTGGTGACCATAATTGAGTGTTGTTTTAAACTCTAAATAGCAGCCTGAGCTTATTTAGGGGAGATAAAGGGAAGCACAGAGTTCACAGTAAGGGTCACAGACTGGGCTGCTCTGAAAAGTGTTTTGACTACTTCATGTTTGCTTTATTCCTTTTCTCCACATCTGGGAAACCTAATTTGTATATTACGCAAAGTAGACACTCAATTTGCATACTGTATGAATTAACATATATTAATATGGATTTTTATATTATGCAAATTAAGCTCATTTCCCCCCTTCCAAACATATATTTTTTACCAATATAGTATAGTGTTGAAATCATTTATACAGAACCCATTGATCTGAGGGATCCAGCAGAATGAAGTGGTTAAGGTGCTGGGTGAGGAACAGGGAGATGAAAGTTCAGATGCCTGCTTAAGTCACAAAGTTTCCTTGGTCTGTTTAGGCTCATCAGTAGTTCTCAGGCAAAGCTGCCTCATGGAGTTGTTGGTCAAATAAGATGGAGAGGGGGAACCATGGAAAGCAGTTAGGCACCGTGCTAGTGGATACGGATAAATAAGGGTGTTTGCCCTGTGCTTGATCTGCAGGGGAAGATGAGGACAGACTGTATAAATCACAGAAATCTGGAATGTGTGTGTGTGTGTCACTGCCTTCAGAGATGCAAATGAAATATTTTATTATAACTGGAAAATATCCTGGCTTTACTTTCTTTCCCATATTTGGCTTCTCTCTCTCTCAATCACTCTCTCAAACGCACACCAGCAAGTGCCAATCTAGCATGCTTCCTGCTTCCTGAACCCCACAACCATTAGGTGTGGTTTTGTTTCCCTGCTCTGCTATATTGGGAATAAAATTTATACTGGATCTGGAATATATTTTCAATAAACTGCACAATCCACAGCAGCCAGAAAAGATATTGACCATGTTCACTTCCATGAGGGCTAAAGGCTCATTATTTTTTATTTTTTATTTTTTAAATAAATGATTGGAATCTGAGCAGATGATAGTCCAAATAGGCAGTGGGTAGCACCTCTGAAATCTAGACAAACTCAGCTAAACAGATGGTATAACAACTCTGTAACTATGACTACTTGCCATAATTGTGATATGTTGCCCATAGTCAGAAGCCCCATGCCTTTGAATTCCATCAGCTAGGAAACAGGAATGGATATGTGCTAATAGTGGATTCTCCATAGGCAACTGGATGGCCACTGGGAACACAATGGTGGGTTTGACAGGCTTAGGATCTGATCCAGCAGGGCTTCTCTTATATTCCTGCTGAGCTGGCTTATTGTGATCTTTTTGCTTCCCACACATTGGTACAGTAAGGTGTCCATGGCCACAGTTGAGGCTCTGAGGAGACAACAGCTGATGGAAGGAACTTAACAGGACAGTAACAACCATCAAAGCTTTCTAAATACTGTATCTGGTTTATACAGAGAGAGGGGGAGAAAGAGAGAGAGAGTACAGTAAAGCCCGCAGAGAGAATAAGGAAGCCAGCAGTTACAACTCTGTAGGTTGAGAAAACTCAAAATCTGCTTTGCAGAATATCAGTAGAAAGTTGGCAGCAGACATTCCTTTTCCAGGAATGTTCCAAACATTAACTTGTTTTGTGAAAGGAGCCATTGCATTTGTAAGGGTGAGCACTCCAATTTAATGGCACTGTTGATGACACATGTCTCCATTACAAAAGACTGTTGTGTCTTTATAGAGAGAAAGCCAAAGGAATGGCACTGGAGGTTTGTTGGCCACTATATCTGGCTTTAAAAGCAAGTAGGGCACCTGTTTTAAATTAGCTTCATTATATATTCATTATTCCCATCCCGTGATGACTTTATTGGAGTTGTACAGAGAAAAAAGGAGCATAAGAACAGGCTTTATTACTTTCTTGAAAAAAATAAAATCTGTGTCAGCAGAGGAAGTATATTTTTAACTTTGTGGTGAGAAGAGGCTTGATTGCCAGAGCAATCTTGAACAGCTTGTCACTTGTGTCATTTGAAGCCTCTGCTCAGCCAAGTAGAAATGAATTTCTCTCAAATTCAGACTTCCCATAGATGATGACAATGACGATGACTAACAACAAGAAGAACAGAAACAAAGGCTCAGTATAAGAAACAAACAGAAACAAAGGATCAATTTGAAAATAAATTAAACCGTTCAAAAAATAAACCACTACATGGACAATGCCTGAGAAATATTGATGGAAAGCATGATCATAACTCAACATGGACATGGTTAAAACTGGTAACCATTAAGAAAGAAACAGAAGGCTTGATTTTTGCTGCACAAGAACAGGCACTCAAAACCAATGTGACGAAAGTTAAAATCCAAGGAATTAGTACTAATAGCAAATGCCGACTCTGCCAAGAAAAAGATGAGGTGTCACATCTCATCTGTAACTGTCCAAAGAGTGCACTGTGTATACTACTAGTCCAAGACTCACATGCCCC